CGCATGCCGTAGTCATTAGACCATTGACTTCGCAACCCGGACGGAGCGATATGCCGAGTTTTCGACGGCCCACGATACGTCTCACAAGGATGGACCAGAAGCTGGTCATCATCCTCGCGTTTTTATGGGGCGGGGCATCAGGGGCAACACGGAGTACGGCCGGGGTTGTCGTTTGTTGTGAAGTGTGCCGTGATGCCAGAAGCCCAACGGTAGTGCTGTTGGTCTCAGCATTCCGGCAAATATTGACGTGAAAAACATCCTGTCATTTGATGCCGCCACATTTCTATAACGCCATGAAGAACCAACCTTCTCCTATGCTTCAAAGTACTTACATAATATATCCCCCCCGAAACCAGAACAAAATTGCAACAAAAGAAACTAAGATAAAACACACACCGTAATATTTGCAAGCATGAACATCCGCCACCCAACACAAAACAACCGTCGGTTGTTGTCCAACAATACACAACCCCCGGATTATATACCACATCTTTTCATCACCTGGTCCGCCGGCACGAAAGCGTCCCCAACCCAAAGCCACGGCTTCCCGTGCAGGACGGCGCGAACCCTTTCCGTCACTACCACCCCTGGGTTGTTGCCGCCGCCGCCGCCGCCGCCGCCCTCTTGCGAGCGCGACCGGGCCTCGTCAGCCTCCACGGCGTTGCTGAGGATCTGGTACAGCCTTGGTACCACCCCGGCCATGGTCTGGCGGTGACCCTCGAGGGTGTGCGCGTTATCCCCCGGGGACGTTGTCTTGTCATCCCCGCCTCCTCCGGTTTCGGCCGGCGCCGCTTCGAGAGCCTCTCGTGCCGCGGAGAACGTCTCGGCGAGGCCGATAACCTGTGCGACGTTGCAAGGAACGGGCAAAAACAACGTGCGAACCGAGTTGATAGCCGGCGCACCGCCCCCGGTGATACCCTGAAAACTCAACACCCGTGGCACTGGTGGTTGCCTGGTGAGTCTACGGGGCGGAAGTAACACCTGGGGGAGGGTTGGTAGGTGAGATAACTGTACCAGTGCTAGAAAAAGACACATCCAGGAAAGCGGGTGTCTAGAGCACTTGCAAATACAGCAGCAGTAGAGACAATACAAGAGCAAGTACTGATTTCAGAGAGAAAAACTGCCCTGTCCTGGCCATGAGAAACACACATACTTCGCACAACATGTCCTAAGAAAAAAGAGTTGATTTGAGAGTGATTTTTGGTCCGTCGCGACCCTCTCTTCAACCGTAGCCTCTATGTACTGTATTATACACAAAGCAGTTTCACGCGGAAGTCAACTTTACCTTCTCGCGGCAACGATATCGGTTCTACAATCCACGGTTCCTTAGGAACATTTCCAATCACCTGCCGAGCAACGACGACCGGATCCACGGGAGTGTTCCACGAGAACGCCGCCCGAACAGCAGAGCTTCGCACCTGGGACTTCCGCGTAACGGGGGGACCGGGCCAATCCGCGGGATTAAACCAAAATTTGCTGGGTGAGCGGCAATCGCTCGCATGGGGCGTCATGCCGAAGACTTTTTCTTGGTCTTGCTACTACTGCCACTACCGCCAAGTGGGCTGTTCGTTTCTTACTGGTCCTCTGCTGCAATGTTTCCTCCATCCTGCTAAGGAAAACGATTGTTTTCTGCTCCGAAAACACAAGAACCGACAATCAATCTTTGAACAGTTACTATTAAAGCATTGTTTGCCCGCTTTGTTTTTAGTCTGGTAGCAGTTTCTCTGAGCTCACGAAAGCTAAATACGCGCACGAGATCGCGGCGGTGCCTTGGCGCGACCCTAGACCTCGACTTCTATCGCAGGGATTTCCAAACGAAGCGACGCCGGTGCCAAACGCGGGCGTAGTTTCTTGCTTCTTCCCACATGAGCAATATTTTAACGCCTTTTTAGGATCCCTGTTTTTTTTTGCTCTTCTTCGCCGCAGCCGAATTCTCTGAGCAGCTCAATAAAACTACGATGACGAGGTTCGTGGCCCTTCCTCCGCACATACTAGCCCCCGACCACGCACCGAGCGTTTCACCTCGCATCACAGCCAGCAGCACCAGCACCAGCCAAAGAGTACAAAAATGACGCCCTCACACCCGCCGCTGGAATGGAGGTCAGAAACATGCATTCCTTCCCTACGACGGGGCAAGATACAGTGCCATGCTAGCCGGCGCGGCTCAACGCGGTAGGACAGCAGAATAGGTGTGCTCCGCAAGTCTCTGAGAGGATGATGGCCAGGCCAACAACCAAGGCCAACAACATCGATCTCTCTACCTTTTGGGCGAGCAAACCATATTTTTGCCACATTGGTAGCTCGCCAGCTCCTGCTCAGCTACGCCCGCCAAACTGTGAGGGCCAACGACAACGCAGCCCACTATAACTAGAAGGTACTGAGAAGAGACCGGAACGATCTTTTGTGAAGACAACAACCACAACAACAAAAACAACAACATCTCCACCACGAAATCCAGTTTCCGGCGACTTTTTTTTTTTCGTCAATCCGGTGCGCGACACGTCCAGCTATGCCCACATCGAGGCCGCCGTCGTCGCAATGTATGGTGCGGGGGGGGCTGGCGAAGGAGGCGAGGTACGGCAGCAAGTACAGTCTAGAAAACGAACAACGGAGTGAGACGGACGACAAAACTTTGGAGTACATCGACTGGGTTAAGGCGAGCCGGGAGCACCGCATGCATGGGATACACTGTTGTGTCTGGTGCCGTCTGTGTTGAACGAGGGCAGCTGCTTGAAATTTGTTGCTGGTGCTGCGGTCGCATCCGCCTCAAGCAGTCCGTCGGCGTCTTCTTCTATCGATGACATTGCTGTTTCCCGTTCAGCTGGCTAATGAACCAGCTGAACGGGACGCAGAAACATGTCCGATCAAAGAAGTCGCCAAGGAACTTCTAGATGCGGATGCGGCCGCCTCGCCTGCAGCACCATTAACGCAGCTTCCGTCTTTCAAGATACATATACGGCACCAAGCTCATGTGCATCTAATGCGGTGTTCCAGGCTCTCGTCCTTCCGCCAATCGACCCCACGGTGTCACTATCGCAAAAAATGGATAAAATTCACGATACATCGGTGATTCAATTCCATACTAATGAGCCCTTGGCATAGTTGGCAGCTTCTGTCTCTTTCGTGCACGTCGTCCTGGCTAGATAAGGAGGCGTTGTTTGAGGGGTTTCGCCGCGAGAACCGACTTTCCCATGCTCCCTGTGTTGTGGCTGACTAACGATGCACGGGGCCACTGCGATATTCTTTCGCTAGCCGGGTTTGGGACATGGGAGCGGGTATTTGCTGCACAACGGAAAGTGAAAAATCGAAGCCGCTGTTTTTGCTACGTATGGGACTGGCGGAGGAGCGACGTACGACAGCAAGTATAGTCTAATGCCTGGTAAACACAAAAAACGGAGAGATATGGACGACAAAACCGACGCCTTACGTTAAGGAGTGGATGGATGTCAAATGGTTTGTTGCTTTGTTTTGGATTTTTCTTAAATTTCAGTTCTGGGGACGCAATAGCGCCTGATGAGTGTTGTTGTCGTCTCGGAAAAAACACATACCGGTCTCTGCTCAGGACCAATTAAAAGACAAAATCTGCCAACCAAAGGCCAAGGGTCAATAATCGCCTGATGATGATTGTTGTTACTGCTGTTTTCACATAAAAAAAATCGTTCCGGTCTCTATTCAATACCTTCTACACCCGTTACCAAAACCAACATAAGCCATAATGAGTGTTGCTGTCTTCACAAAAAAAAATCGTTCCGGTCTCTATTCAATACCTTCTACACCCGTTACCAAAACGAACACAAGCCATAATGAGTGTTGCTGTCTTCACCAAAAAAAATAGTTCCGGTCTCTGCTCAGCACCTCCTAACATCTGTTACCAAAACCAAAGACTCTCGATGAGTCTTCCTTTCGCGCCTTGGCATCTGGAACGTAGTTCTAACATCGGTTACCAAGCAAAAAACTCTCCATGAGTGAAAAATCCGCACAGGGGCATCCAGGGCGTCGAACATCCGTTACCAAAACAATAAACTCTCCATGAGCGTTCCTTTCATGCCGTGGCATCCAGAACGTAGTTCTATCATCCGTTACCAAACAAAAGCTCTTTGATGAGTGAGCCTTCCGCACAGAGGCATCCAGAGCGCCGAACATCCGTTACCAAAACAACAATCTCTCGATGAGCGTTCTTTCCCACACCACAACGGCATTCTAACATTCGTTACCAAAATAAAAAAAACTCTTCGATTGATGAGTCTGTATCCTTCCGCACGCACCTCGGCGTCCAGAACGTAGTACGTTCGCGAGCAGATCCACATGTCCTCCCGCAGCCGTACCCTCGACGGAGACACCACCCCGCCCTTGTCTTCCCCAGACAGAGAGAAAGCCGTCCCCCCGCTGCCGCCGCCGGTGTCCGGCACCAGCGGCGACGGGAAAGTGGCCAGAACGGGCACCTGCGGGGGTAGTAAGGCAACGCGGGACATGGGGGTACTTTTTCCGTTAACAAAGGGTGTGTAGGGGGGGGTCTCTCCTGCTGTGCACGCCTTAACTGTTAGACACTTCACCACGTATCCTCGGAAGGACGGAGAATTGCTCCCACACAGGAACGATCGCCGAGCATGGAGGGGGGGCGGGGGGGGGGGGCCGCACCCTTGTTCTGGGAATCGTTAACGGTTAAACCCATGGGGGGGGGGGGGGGGGGGGGGGCTTTTTTATCCGGGCGGGCGGGATTCTAAAAACCTTTTTCCCCCCCCTCTTTCAAAAAGCGGGGGGGAAAAGCCCGGGTCTTCCCCGGGCCCGTTA